AAATCTTACCAATTTAAACTTTATCCTATTAAAATTATTTGAACATAATTTAGATATTGTAAGCTTAAAATACAAAGGTTTACAGATAACCTCTTTACCATAAACTAATCCCTGGCAAGCCATGGCTCGCTCGCTCTCTTTTTTTGTTTTTTTTCCTTCGTGTTTAAAGGCTATAAACAGTTTTCTTGAATGGTCATGAACTTTTCTTGGTTAGCCCTAGCATTTAGCTATGAAGAGAGCTCGTAGGCTTTCAGGTGCTAATTGAGATATGCCCTCGGGGTGCCAAGTTGGTCACGTTGGCACCAGTGACAGGGAAGGCATCTATGAGTTTGATGCTTTTTATCACACACTTGAGTGTTTACCGGTACTTTTAAACAACACTCCAAGAAAATTTGCTGTATTTCTTTCTCATCACTACAGAGAGAATAGATTTCCCTATAGAGAGCATTGCCTCCATTAGTAAGGTCGCTGACTGTTGGTAAGAGGTGGACTTCATAGGAGGCAGGGAAAGCCCAGAAATGGCAGGATGACCTGGTGGCTCTGTCATTGGGAACGGTATTGGGTTTTGCTGTTTGTATTTATACTGTATAATAGATAACTACGGTTTTTCCTACTGTCTGTATATGTATTGCTTTTCATGTTTGATATTTTCCCCATGCCAAGATATGTTTATATATATTTTCAATGTTAAATTAAATTGATTTGGGTAGCTTTCTTCCCCAAGAAAGTATTTTCCACCTTAAGTATATATCTCACTGTGGAGGTTGTTTTGTTTTATTTTGTTTGAGCTAATCGGCCTCAAGGGATCTATCCTGATATGCAAAGTAGAAATGGTATACAGTAGCTTTTAAGCAGCTACTCCATTGAAACCTCTCACCCATTAAGGCTGTTTCTTCAAAATGGCATCTCTTATTTTATCAGAAAAACCTTAGAAAACTTCATGTACTCTTGAATTCACAGGTGTTTTCCTTTTGCATCTACCCTTCTTCTTTCCGTCTATCACAAAGAATGCGTCTGTTATCACTACCAGTCACTTAAATGCCATTCTACTTCTTTAGCGGGAAAAAATACCTGAATGAATTCACTTACAGAAAGACAGTTTGACTGAATTTGCTTTTTACAACTAGTGTGGAAAATACCATAGGCAATTGAGGCAATCAGTAGAAATCTCACTAAAAGTTTGTACTCCCTGAGTGTGGTTAACAGCTTAAATGGCAAGAATCTATAAAAGTAGCAACAGTTTAGTGGGAGCCAAAAAGCACTAGTATAAATATCATACTGGGTTTTTACAGACTTGATAAATATGTACACATGAACAACCATCAAGAGGGATAGTTACTTGAGCAGTATAGAGTAGTGGAACTCGGAATCTAAGATTTATCTGGGGCACTTACTAAAAGAAATGTAGAGTTTTGAATCTCACTCTTAAAAATTTGTATTCCTAGGCTGGGGATGGTGGCTCATGCCTGTAATCCTAGCACTTTGGGAGGCCAAGGCGGGTGGATCACTTGAGGTCAGGCGTTCAGACCAGTTTGGTCAATGTGGTGAAACCCCGTCTCTACTAAAACTACAAAAAGTTAGCCGGGCATAATGGTGTGTGCCTATAATCCAACCTACTCGGGAGGCTGAGGCAGGAGAATCGTTTGAGCCTGGGAGGCGGAGGTTGCAGTGAGCTGAGATCGCACCACTGTGCTGCAGCCTGGGCGACAGAGCGAGACTCTGCCTCAAATAAATAAATAAATAAAAATTTGTATTCCGTCGATTTGGATAGACATCAGGAATGTGCATTTCTAACAAGCTTTCCAGGCGATCCTACAGTAAGTATCTATGGACAACTTTAAGAAACTCTTCTGTAGAGAATGGAGTTGGATTAATAATAGGCGATTTTTACACTGGACTGATTGACAAGAACCTGAACAGTAGTCCATGACGCTGCTCATCTGTGGTAACTTTTGGCCCCGTCTCACTCTGAAAGCAGCAGAAGATGTCAGTTACTTTGTTTCTTCCTCTTTGTCTGGAGATTCATTTTGGAATGAAGGTTTTTCCCTCTATGCCATTCCTAGTTCTTTTCCAAAGCTTCATACAAGAGGATCAGGTCACAATGCGTGCATTACCTTTTAAAAGAATGCGATATTGATACCGATGCTTACTTTTTTTTTTTTTTTTTTTTTTTTTTTTTTTTTTTTTTTTTTTTTTTTTTTTTTTTTTTTTGTCTTATTCCTTCCAGGAAGTATAGCTTACCTTTCTGTGGCATAGTTCTCCTCAGGTGGAGTGTTTCCTATAACACCCGTCACTGAGTCATGTATTTTTCAAGATGGAATGAATCTTTGATTTAATCTAATCTACTATTCTTATTTGTTAGAAGAACAACCTACGTGCTAGAGAGAGAGGGGGAAATATACCCGGGACCACACAGCCAGTTAGTATCCAGGTGGTGCTGGACCCAGCCAGGTGTCCTGCCTCATGGTAGTTAAATTATATGTAGAAAAGGTAAATTTTTAAAGAAATATTTATTAATATATTCCTATAAAACATTTTAAAGGTAACCACATAAAAATGGTTAATTTTTCCATTTCAAAGTAAATGCTAAGCATGCTTATTAACGAAGCAGTACTTGTAATTAGTATATGACATTCTGAAGTTAATTAAAATCACTGCACTAAATGTGTCTTCCTTGGTATAGTGGGGGATTTGAGGATTGGAATATAGAGTAGAGTGCTTGCTTAAGCCTGGGAGCCCATCTTACAGCTCTTTAATGTAAGCAAAGAGACATGGCCATTTCTAAACTATATAAGGTGAGTGTCTATTCCCAGCAGATAGAAAGGAAAAAGGAGACTTTCTTGACTTCCACCCTCCCAGTCTCACCCAGCCTCACCTATCCGTCTTCCAGCCTCACATATGGAGATATTAGTGCAAGGTGCTGGGCTTTAGGTAATCATTTCTTAAGTCCTTTGCAGATAAAGAAAAAAGTAGTGTTTGTATGTTTGTTTTTAAGTAACCCAAAAACAAATTTATATTGTATTCAGCAGAATTGGAGTTCAGGTGTTTAATTTTAGAACATAAAGTGCCTGCTGTTTTAAGCATTAACTTGTATAAAAAGAATTGCATGTCTCACTCCAGTAAGCTTATGGGATTTCTCATTTTTAGCTATATGGCTTTTAATCATGTAAAGTGAAACATTAGTTCTGTTGCATTTTATTACAGATTCTTTGTTGCAATAAAGATGCTGCTGAAATTAATTGATTTAAATGTTCCTTTTTCTCCCATTTCCTCATGGGAAATGTACAACATTGCCTCGATGAGTGACAACTGTGGAGTGACTAATACACGTGACCAAGATAATGTGCTTGGAGTGGAGAAGGGAGCCTGCAGCATGAAGGATGGCTTGGGGGTTTTACATGCACTGACCACAGTGTATCCAGGCCCAATGGGAGGCGTGCAGAGAGCTGCTTTCTACCTGCAGGTGGTTCCCAACGACCAGCGGTTGGATACTGCAAGGGCAAATGGTGCTTAGAGCCAGTGAGGAGCGTATCTTCCTCACTCCACCCCCACGCAGCTCGGGGTTTGAGGGAATACCACCTCGAGTTGATTTCGAGGGAGTTGGATGTAGTACGTTTTTCAGAGGGTTGTTTTTTTTTGTTTTTGTTTTTGTTTTTAGGTGGAGTCTTGCTGTGTCACCCAGGCTGGAGTACAGTGGTTCAGTCTTGGTGCACTGCAACCTACCGTGCCCAGGTTCAAGCAATTAGCCTGCCTCAGCCTCCAGAGTAGCTGGGAT